AGGGGTTTTTCACGGATTTTTCGGTGAGTTTGACGGTTTGGCAGGTTTTTTTCAGCTAGGAACACTCCCCGGGTATAAGAGATGGCCCTGTGAAAATTGCATCCAGATCGCTTGGGCGGTTTGGCCACCTATAGGGAAGATACATACATACATACATACATGTATACGAATTACGAACTCAAATATATATTAGATATATTTTTACCTGGTGAAACTTATACAAGTCATTGCTTTTTAGATGGAACTCCTGATCAAGGAGTTCATTTTTCACATTTTCCAAAAAGGTATCCGAGTCTATGAATTTTGGCAAAACACAGCAAGGAAATGGTATTGTAGATAGTGCTGCCCCACATTCTGGAAAACAGAAGCAATACCTTACACAACTGAAATATACATTTAATAGTATATGTCCGTTTTGTAAATTTATATATACCACATCACAAGATCTCACATTTAAGTATACTCTCTGGTCCTCTCAGTTTGTACCAGAACCCCACCCACCTAGGAGTGACAAGTTGATACAATCGCTACTTACAACACATTCAGCTATATCTAGCCTAGCTCTAGTACTATAGCCCACGTTCATTAACTGCCGCAGGCCTGCGGCCGTAGGCTGCGGGGGTGGGGCTGCTGCCGTAGGCCTGCAGCTGTTAATGAACGTGGGATATAGTACTAGAGCTATATCTAGCCATACTCTGACACACACAATAAACAACAGTTTTTACAGGTGTGGTCAGCTGGAACTTCTATATAATTGCAGCACCTATATGTAAATGTCAGATCCTTAAAATGGATAAACCTCGCAACAAAAGGACTATATAGACCTCAGGGTTTCTCTTGATGGAAAATTAGACAACAGAGGTAATGGCCAGTTTGGCGAAAAAAACGCGCATGATGGATTCAAAGGCATGCAGTAGGCACGAATGTGGTTTCTGCAGGCAGACGCGGGGGGGAGAGGTAGAGGGGGTTCTGGGGGTCTCCCCCAGCAAAATTTTAAAAATATGAATGTCTTAGACAGACTGCATTTGAGGCACGCCGAAAATAAAATTTCACCTTTTAGTTTAAATCTTACTCTGTTAGCAGACCTACCTTAGCTAGTCTTACGCATTTCGTGGGAGACTCACGCATCTGGACCCATTCTCCCACAGACCCGCACTCCCTACGCATTCTCACGCATTCACGCAAAAGAAACAAGTGCCGCGGAGCAACAGAGCTCATCTAACGTCTACTGCGGTGACTCTGTGGTGGAGTGGTGGGATTCTATAGTAAACCCTGTTAGTCCCAAATGTGTTCACATACATGCCGAAACAGTGGAATGCACAGGGATGGTATCAGGAACCTTCTCAAAGGAATGTTCGTTGGGATCGTTATGAAAGTTGCCACGAGATGGCGCGTACGTTTAAGTGTCTTCAGATTAAAGATGGAAGCTCCCATCGTACGTAGTAGCACGTAGTAGCAACAACTATTTGCAAGACAGAATAGGTAAGCACTCATCCATTTACCTACGCAAGCCTACAGGCTGCCCGTTAGTTCTTACTTTTAATGTAAAAAAATGGCAACAAAAATTTTACAAATTTTACCATAGAAAATTCGTGACGTAGTAAGTAATAAATTTCATTATTTTTAAGCACTAACCATGGCTTACGCTTTTCCCCAATCCCAAAGCATTCTTGAATGTGTTCTGAAGCTCGTCCATTGTGTAAACTGAAGACAAATGTGTCCTAGCGACATCGTCTGTATTTGTAGATGCTCCTGAAGAAGTGCTCGCATTATCGCCGGACCGTTTTATCTTCTGTGCAACACAATCTCCTACGATGGAGCATTCTTCAATTGTCCTTTTTGTCGACATTGTAACTGAACGCTTTGTCCTATAACATTTGAATTACATGATAACGAAATGAACGATGGACGTCATACAAGAAAACATACGCAGTTTCAACAAAACGGAACCCAGTTACTGAACAAAAAATAATACTAATAGTAATAAGCAAAGATCTTTGGTAATAAGTAATACCGGAACCACAACCGGAAAACATGACCAGAAACCGTACAACGCATGCGCAAGCTTCTAGTGTTGACTAGTACTTGTCCCTTCTCACGGCTTCATAGGCTTATATCGAGCTTGTGAGAAGGGACGGGTACCAGTCAAGCTTCTACTGTCCACTCACTTGTTTATGGTTTGATGAAATAGTCAGCATTATATAGCCAAATTACTGCTAGCTATTACGCTGTTAATCATTAATAATAGATCATGACTATTTATAAACAACTACAACATGAAATAATCTTTCTCACGTAAAGTCGCAAAAGCGTTTGGAGCTTTAGATAGGCTCACTGGTCGTGTTACACAACGAACAGCACACTCAGGTCTATCGCATCAAAGAACTTATTGCCAGTCTATACCTTAATGTTACGTACATTTCCAGCTGTCGTTAATCGTTCTATTTCTCTTCAACTAACAAATTCAATCAGTAGTGTAGAATCTACTGATATTAAAAAGTGCATCCCAGAGCTGGGTTAAATACTTTCTGTTGCTTTTACAGTTACCAGAATGGCAAGTATTAAAATATCCTAGTTCGAGCATGTATGATGTACCCTACGTATCAAAAGAAAACGCTGTCTAATCGAGAGTCACCGGTCTTTTTTCTTAGGCTGTGTCTCCTGCAACGGTACCGTCGCCGAATTTTTTTCTCTTAAAGTCACGGTAGTGATGCCAGCGCCATCTATCGGCGAATAAACTACCGTTGATTTTGGTGCGATATTATATATACGATTTTATACGATATATACGATAACCCTAACCCTAACCCTAACCCTAACCCTAACCTAACCCTAACCCTAACCCTATTAAATTAATAAAATT